GTCATGTGATCTCTTTTAGAAGGCCTAGAGCCTCTTGTGGTTGTATTAGGAACCCATCCAATTTCTACACATTTTCCAATCCTGTGTGAGGAAGGGCAGGAAAGCAAAACCTTAGAGTAGACCCAATTCCTGTATCCCTAAGAGGGGAGCAGGGGGGACTCCTAGCAGCTGCTGGAGAAAAGCAAATAAGCCCCATAACAGCAAACTACCCCTAAACCCTCACAAGTACCTGCTGTTTCTTTTACGTTGTCAGAGACACTCTGCTATCGGCTAGTATTAGTTTAAATCACCTAAAGAAAAATTAGGTCTTTGGTAGGTAGCTTTTTCCCACCTTTGCATGATGTGCCCTGGGTCTGTGCAGAAGTTATCAGGATGCTGAAGTTTTTTTTTTTGTTTTTTTTTGTTTTTTAACTTAAGGAAATTATAGTTTTGAAGGCCAGTGCAACTACAATATAGTAAATGCTTATAAATCAAATTTTTCTATTCCTAAAACAGCGCAAAGTCTTGGGAAATCAGATGATGTCAGAAAAGAAAAACAAGTCTCCTACTCCAGAGTCTGTGGCCATGGGTGAACTGAAGAAAGCCAGCAAAGAAAATATGAACTTAGTAAGAAAATGTTCTTTAGTTCCTGTCTTTCTCTTGCAGAAAGGAGGAAGCTGATATGCTGCTCTGTGTTTTGCTATGATTCTCTAGGTCAGTCAACATGCTGATGAGCCAGCCTCTTTCTATAGGTTTTCACTGAATCATTCAATAAATGTGTTTTGAATTTAAGAAAGGTATAGCTAGTTATAGCTGTAGATGACCAATACAGCACAATAGTTCCATAAACTAGTGCTGGAGGGTACAGTTAATTCTTATTGGGAGATTCCACAGGGCAGGTTTGAATTTGAGCTGGGACTCCTTGGCTTTGTTTTACCTGTGGGGTAGTCCTTCATTGTATCCTGGTCTACTTCATTAAGTATGGCTACGTTGTTAAGCCAGCAGTCAGTTAGTTAAGATCAGAGATGTATAAATTTATGTCTGTAAAAAGCTATCCATAGTACTAATATTCGATCATTTAAGCCACTAAAATTTTCTCATTACAGTTGTTTTCTGGCTCTCCAGCTGTAACGATGACACCAACAAGATTGAAATGGTCTGAGGGGAAGAAAGGGGGGAGAAAAGGTACTCATTGTGGTTCCCTCTGTTGTCACTGAGTGTGCTTCCCTGCTGCTCTCTCAGTCAGTGGCACTTCTTTTTTTGAATCCCGAGGTGGTCTAATTGTAGTCAAAAGGAATTTAGGTGGTTATGCTACACAGCACTGCCCTCAAGTACTGAGGAACAGTTTCAAACACAGCCCCCACCTGGGGTCTCTTAAGAATACCTGCTAAGCCACACCTTCAATCCAAGCACTTAGTAGGCAGAGGCAGGTGGATCTCTGAACTCCAGGCCAGCCTGGTTTAACATAGTGAGTTCCAGGCCTGCAGGGGCTACATAGTGAGACCCTGTCTCAAAAATTGCCCCCAAACAAAAACAAAACCATGAACAAACACAAACAACCAAAAATCCTGTTAAATAAAATAAAACAAGTGCAAACTACTTTGTGAATTAAGACCAGCAGTGTTGAGTGCACTTATAAGACAGTTACGTTCCTTCTTGGAGCAGGCGTCAGCTTTAATCAGAGAAGTTTTCCTGATGCTGAAGGACCTGGAAATCATAATATGTTTTCAAGGCTGCTTAGTTCAGAGAGGATTATTTAGTGCTAGGACTACTGATTATTACAAGCTCTTCTGGTGGAAAGCTTTTGTGAGCTAGGAATGCTAGCATACACTGTAATCCCATCACTCAGGAGGGGAAGGCAAGAGCATTGTGAGTTCAAAGCCCCAAGCATAAACAAAACACCAGCAACCAACCAACAACATCAGCAACAAATCCAATAACACACTGCTGTGCTTTCCTCTGTGGTTTGCTGGAAAAACCACAGATTTTTGTGTGTGTTCTCATTTGAGTTCTCATTCTCTTCACCCAGGAAAGCTGCTTATTCTCTCTGAACTCGTTTCCTCATCTGAAAATGAGGACAGTATAGTTTAGCATCCCTAATCCCCTTTGAATTCTTGATACTATTAGAGTGTGGACTTGACTATTATTTATGGTGTTTACTTCATCTCCATTATCACTGTATCTAGGTTCTTTTCTATGAGACAAGAGCCAGACTTAAGGATGCATCAGTGTTAGAGTACTTGTCTAGCATGTGCAAAGCTCTGGTTTCAGTCCCTAATACTACACTCCTATACACTTGCACACCCATTCACTCAACTACATTCTTTTTGCTCTTCCAGTGATTCAGTGGTTTCCTGCAGGAGGCATTTAGTAAATATTTTTGGGGCAGTAGTGGTAACAGCATGAGCTTTGCATTCACTTAGACTTGGGTTAAGCCCCCAATTTAGTGCTTGATAGCTTTCTATTCTGGGGCAAGTTAGCTTGTGTGGGCTGCAGATTCTGCATCTATAAAATGACAGAGTGTCTTCATGTGTAGGTAAAAACTGTGAGGGTAAATGAGATGATGTACATAAGGAACTTTGAGCAATACCTGGCACAAAATATGCCCTTCCTAAGTGATAGCTGTTATTGTCATTAAGAAGATTTAATGAACTGGGATTAGATCAAGGAGACTAGATGTTTATTTGGTAGAGGGTCAGATTTCTCAATTAAATTCTTTACTCTTAAGTTTGGAAAAAATATTAGATTCTGTAGCTTTTAGGTGGGATGTTTATAAAAAGAAATATGGCTGGGCGTGGGGGCACATGCCTTTAATCCCAGCACTTGGGAGGCAGAGGCAGAGGCAGGCAGATCTTTGTGAGTTCAAGGCCTACATAGTGAGTTCCAGGACAGCTGGGGCTACAAGAAGACCCTGTCTCAAAAAGACAAAAA